GACACGTCGACCACCAAGGCGCTTCCATTATCCTGAGTTGGGAAATCCCTTAATTTCCTTTGCGCAGAGCCTCATAGAGAGCTTTAACCAAGCACTTTATACAATAGGTGACTATGAGAGTTCATCTGTAGACCACAGCGTGACGCATGAAGGGGCTCATGCTGGGTCAAAGGGGGAGGGTGTAACCCATGTGAAATACAGGGCTGCAAAATCCCTTTTTGTAATCTAAGGCTATAGCCTGTTATTGTCACAGGGGGGCGCTGTGATGCAGTCTTGTGTTCTGACGACCTTGCGTCTAGTGCGCAGGAAGTATTACCTCTCTCTTCCTGTGAGATCTTCCCTCTGATGGCGGTCAAGTACGTGTCGGAGCGCATGGAAAAAGTATCTTGGTATGCAATACTGCAACCCGGTTAATGAGACCAGATTGTTTTACGTATAAATGCTAATAAGGTACTCTTTTATTAGGCCCCGAACTCTGACCACAAAGGGAATAACGTCTGTCAAGTTATTTGTGTCTGAAAATCCCGGTGAGTCACGTGCTTTCGTTAGCTACCTGTTAAGTTAGATAATGTATTTCACTAGCCGATTCAGCTCAGAAACCTTTGAACAAAAACCAATCGGGAGCTATGAGAATCTGGCGTGTTGTTTCACTTCTCCTGTTGTTCTTTACAGTGTGTTATAAGTGTTGAATGCTTTGAGCTAAACGATGCCGATGCTAGATGCGATGCGATGCTAGCTGCTAATAGCTGTTAGCCACCCCACCCCGCTGAAGCCATATTCCGATCGGGGAGGTATTCAAGTAGAAGCAATAGCTCTGTTTATATTAGAATGGTTATGTCTTAATAGATATGAGCATATTTCAAGTTTAATAGTATTTGCACTGAATTAAGTTACATTTTCTTGTAAGCCTTAAGGATGAATGTCACTTTCATTGCTATGACTGTTTACATTACTGTTTAAGCTGCTGATGTTCTTTGTTGTGATATAATTTTGATAAAATTGTTGATACTGGTACAAACAAGTTACTGTAACTCTTGTAACTTGGTAAAGCTAAAGGGAATGCCATTTGTGATTAATACATTTGGAAAAGAAGTTAATGAGCTCATGTTAAGAACACAAAATGGGAAAAGAAATTGATTGTTCTGCACTGTTTGTGTAGATTGGTTTTTTTGAACTACTAGAAGGATTCTGGAGAACCACTGACGGCGAGAACAGCCCAAATGAGATCCTGGATGATCGTGAAATGGTGTGGCCAGCCATGCGATCGGATTGTGGGATTTGCCTGAGAAACTGATTCAAGCAACCCTGGATTACAGATAAGCCCTATGCACTACTTTTCCTACCCGGATAATAGGGTTTGCACACTGACAATTCCCCTACAGCACACCTGTTTGGGTTTTCAACGACTTTAAGGGACAATTCAGACTGGACAATTCAAACTTCACAACAGGAACACTTTAATCTGTTTCATCCATTCCCAAGAGCTCTGATACTGTTCAGTATAAATCTTCCATTTAAATGTCTTTATTTTGTTTTGTTTTACATGTATTCACCTTTAAAAATGCACTATTAGCGTGCAATTTGGGTTATTGTGTTGTATATGTGTATAAATGGTACTGAGGCAATAAAGGTCCCAGTTATTCACTTCCAAGCCAACTCCTTTTGTGAGTCTCCAAAACAAAACCTCCTCCTGAACCTAGAAAGATGTCTAGGGTCTCTATTTGACGTGAGAGTGTACTGGTCCTGAGTAGAGGCGCTACAATTACAACAACATATTTGCCCAATCACAGTAAAACGATGGACTGAGTGACCGACCAACCGACCGAGCTGCAGCTAAAGCTTAAACTGGAAACAAAGCTTGCTCGGTTATTTCCACCTCTGCTTTAAAATACGACGCCTGACATTCTGAATCTTTCCATCACCTTTATCCCCATCCGGTCAACTATTACCTGAGAGAGTGACTGACAGGTGGAGAGACATGAAATCAATGTTGTTAATACAATCACACGGAGAACGGCGACCCCCGGCAGCCCGCCCTCCCCCCTGCTTTCTGCTTCTGTGGTGCAATCGTCGACATGCTGCTTTCATGCAGGCGTTTGATTGAAAAGAAAAAATCTCCAAGGACGCTTAAGTGCCCTTAAGGTGGAGGTTCAGGAACATCAGATAACTGTAACAATTAACTGTGTGATCGATAGCTCCCCGGTGACTGTGCAGGAAACAGGTTGTTGAAGGTTTTTCAATTTCACTTTGGTTTTTGGGTAAAAACCTGAACCTGAGCAAGAAATGCAGATGATCTTTTAAATGAGGTATTGGAAAAAAGAAGGACAATCTTAAAAGTGCTTAAACAGGAGTAATGTTTGTTTTTGCTGTATTAAACATATCGTTGCACCGAGCTTATTCAGTATTGATAGCTCAGTGTGCAGTAACATTTGACCTCATTAGCCGAGCTCAGAAACTGAGTTAGTGATTATCTACAGGCAGGAGGGCAAAGTGACTAACAGACAAGAAATACCAACTGCAATTAGCTTTCAATCCAGGAAGCAAATAGAAAAATAAAGTGCACAAAGCTGTCATCATGGATTTGTTGATTGAAAGAGAAAAAGTCTGGTATCATGTATAAAAGTTCAGGTATGAAAACAGGTATGAAACTCCTTCACGACCAACCAAACCGCGTAACTCAAATACCCTGAACTACAAAAGCAATGATTCGTTGATAAGATGATAAGATGTTGGGTGGGTCCAGCTCTGCTCTGAGGCCATCCCACCATCCATTTATTTCCTGCTGCTTATCCGACCCAGGTAACACGAGCAGCTGCTAAAGCTGAGACGCCCAGACCGCCCAGTCCTGAGACACCAGCTCACGCAGGGGAACTCGGAGGTCTTCCCTGAGAGATGCAATCTCTCCACTGTGTGCGGAGTCTACCCCCGGGCCTCGTCACAGTTGGACGTGCCCAAAACACCCCGGAGGCATCCTAGTCAGATGCCTGAACTCCTCATCCTTTCACTAAAGGAGAACCCACAAGATGGCGGGCCTCTCGTGGTGAGTTGGGCGTAGCCACTGGGTCCAATGGCCTTAGGCCCAGCCACCAGGCGCTCTCCCTTGAGCTCCCTCCCAAGGCCTGGCTCCGGGGAGGTGCCCCATTTACCGGGCAGGGTAAACTGGTCCTTTATTGGTTTTTATGGGGGTTTTGTGAATCACTCTGCTCTGGCCTCACAATCAGGACCAATTTGCCTTTTGAGACCATATAAGGGGGCAAAGCCATACATCACAGTAAAAAGGACTGAAAGGTGTTCCTGTGCTTCATGGACTTACTGACAGGAAAGGACACAAGAAAACTAAAACTACGTATAAAGATGTTGGTATAAAACAACTTTCTGGCCATCAAGACTCGCTGAATGTACGTCATACGTGAGAAGAGAACCTGGATCATCCTTTTATCAGAAGCAAGAAATGCTTCTTGCGTCTTCTTGTGATGCTTTTGGTTTCTTTATTACTGTGAAGGCAGCGTGTGTGTCAGGCTGAGTCCAGCCTGCTGAGGAGAAAAGTTTGGTCGGGTTTAGATAAAATAAACTCGGAAAGAAAAGGAGAATCACAGATCAGGGGAAACAATGTTAAACGTTTGAAATTCGGTATTTTAACAGCGGCTTACTACCAGTTTCACTTATGAGCAACACTGTGCAGTCTAGTAAACAAATAAAATATTGATGGTGTCTGGAAACAGCAGACAGAAATCCAGATAGTGGTAAAAACAGACTGCCTCCTTCTACTCCAACAACTTTTTTCTGTTTTTGGCTACAATGTCAATACTGACCTTTGGTTTTAGGCAAAATTCAAATCCTGCCCTCAGAGTTAAAATACTAGAACCCACAGAAAACCCTAAAGAGTCCTAATCTACGGCTCTACTGACCTTTCCTTCTGGCTCTTTGTACTTTTTTTATTTGGATTTTAGACACATGAGGATGCAGCTTGTATTCATGACAAATAAGCCAATGGGAAAAACTTAAACCTTAATTCTTTCCAGTGTCCAGCAGGGGCGACTCCTCTGGCTGTAAATAGAAGTCTGTTAGTATAACAGTCTAGGGGAAAACAGTGCTGCCCTGATATGACCTCAATCACTAGTTTTAACTCTCTTTTTCTAATAAACTGTACGTTATGGTCCTAATTACGTTGTAAAAGTTGATGAACCAGGGTAATAATTTAGGGCGGGGCTAACCTACGATTGACAAGCTGCTGTATGAGGTTGCTGCCCTCAGGCTTTTCCTCAGCCAGGTCAGCCATGGTGGAAGGACAAACAGATTGGTTGGAAACTTCAAGACTTATTAACTAATAATGACCAAGATTTACAAAATCGATTGAATTAAAATTCAATAATCTGTGTGACTGAGTCCATGAACTCAGCAAGAAAGCATTTACTCAGCGTCAAGTTAGAGAGCTATTTTGATTCACACGCATCTACTGTGTTTTTGAAACCATAGCTATCGCCATCTGGTGGCCTTCAAGGAGAAAACAGTTTTAACCTCCTGGCACCAAATATGTGGACATCACATTTTGGACTGTCTAGACCAAAATACTAAATTTTGCTCTACATGGGCCTGATATCCACTTATGAGGACATTATACTGCCACTGTTCTATCAAAATTTAAAACAAAAGTCCTCATAGGTGGATCTCATTTTTCTCAGAAACAAAAATCAGGTAATTCTTTGTTTTTACATTCATCAGGTCCCAATCAGCCCAAATAGCAAAGAGAAATTAAAAATGCATGTCATGAAAGAGTTTGGGTCTTAGGAGGTTAGGACACTCTTTGGCTTCCTTTTCTGACCTGGAAGCTACATCCGTGTCGTACACCGTCTCTGAAACGGACACACAGTGGCCATGTATCAGGTTGAAAGTGTCTCAGGAGATGGAGGACATCAAATTTAAGCAAAACTAAAAGATAATCCAGGCTTAACAGACTCACTTGGTGCACAAACTCAAACAGATGATGATGACGATAGTTGTTGTTTGCTAGGTGCTATAAAAAGCTGTCTTCTGTGTGCTCCAATATGCACGTACAGACTGAAGACATCCGGACATTTCAGTGAAAGTCAGGAGTCCAAGAAGCTTCCCTTCAGACTGACACTGACAGAGAAATCCACAAAACCTTTGCAGTAGTCCAGGAAAGTCCCTTCAGAGATGAGCTTAATATCTTTTTAAGGTCTAATTGTAGAAACCTTCATCTTCATACCATCTGTCTCAGTCAGATGTCTGCCAACAACAACTGCTCTGATGTTTCAATCAAACAGCGCTGACTCATTTTGCGGAAAAATTTCACCATAAACCAGTTGGAGTTGTTGGAGCCGACTTCTAAGGACACGCGCCGTCAAACTGGCTCAGTTTAGCAGTTTAGAGAATATCTGATCTTGGCCGAATGCAGACGATATATTGTTCAACCCAGGTGGTATTTTTGTAGCTCTGGAGGAGCTTGAAAGCAGAGAATGATTCAGCGATCTAAAACATTAACAATAGATGTCAAATAGCTGACAGATCCTCTGAATCAAAGAGCGGAGTCTTCTGTTTGTTGCTATTTTTTAGCAATGTTCAACACAACAAGATAAAAAAAAAAACACCTGAGAACACCGACAGCAGGTTCTGCACTAACAGAAGCAGGAAATAGAGCAGAAAAAATGCAGGTTGTGGTCTGAATAAAGGGAGCTCACAGAGTTCTCCAATCTGTGATTATGGTTCTCTCCAGCTGAGCAAAAAAATCCCACCTTAAAGGAACAAGTCCTCGGCTCTATGACTGTGGCGTTCATAAAAATGAGAGGTGAGAGGTTAGGATCCTGTAAGAGCAGATTAAGCCCTCCTGGAAAGTGTTGAACACCTGAAACTGATGGAAGAATGTGAAGTCGGACCTTTTTTGCACTATAATAAGAGATTTACTTTGCACTGGTGGTAACCGTCCCTCAGAAGAGTGCAAACACGTGAAGTATGTTCTGCCACGAGTCAAAAAACTGTTTTCATCACACAAAGCGGGACTTCACTCTTCCCTCTCCCTCCTTCAGCGGATGACAGCTTATTTATTCAGAGAGGCTCTTTACAGGCCAGCCTCTGCGATACACGGCAGAGCTGTGAATTCATAAATGACAAATAGGCTCCAACTGTCAACCCTGGTGCCCAAAGGGGAGCTGAGCAGTTAGCCTACTCCTCGGCTCACCCACACTTTCCAGAAAAACACGAACAGAGCATGTAGATGTTAGAGATGGAGCACGATTGCTGTGAATCAGAGGAAGCCTCTCGGGAACGTCATTAGGAGATCTGCTTCCTAGTTTTAGACCGTGTTTAAAAGCATCATAGAAGCAGAGGCAGCTTCTGCTCCAGCAGGAAAACAAGCT